TTGTTGTGCACGTCATCACTTTTTTAAATTTTGCCCTCCACATCATCAAAAAAAATATTAAAAATGCCACGAAAGCAGAGTTAACGGTCCAATTTAACAGAAGGACTAACGGAGTGCATTTCGTATAGTTGAAGGATCAAAAAACTGCAAAAAATTCTCAAGGGACCAAAAATGTGCAAACCACTAAAGTTGAGGGACTAAAATGAGCATTTAACCTTCTTTCTTATAGGTAGCCCATTACATAGCTCCTGCCACTAATAGAAGTAATTCAAACCCTCTTAATTTTATCAAAAGTAACGTAACATTGACATAATTAGTAATCACTCAAGACAGTTAATTACACATGTTCATACATATAAACCATAAACGCAACCAATGATTGCATATAAATCATCCTCAACCTTTCTTAATATTCTAGTTCTATTTTCATTTTTAAATAAAAAAATCAAAACAGAGGAAAAGTAATCCCAACAACAAAATAAACCCAACTGAAATAAATACCCACTTGATAATAGAACTTTACCATGTCCAAAAGAAACAAATAAATCCAAATAGAATAAACAAACATAATTAATAACAAGAAAGAAAAATGATTATTCACAATTTTAATTTCAAAAATATAAAAAAATAAAAGAAATACCCATGATCATCTTCATCAATTGGGGAAAAATCCTCAAAATAACTACTCATCAATTACAAACATAATCACTACCAAATTGTAGATGAATACTGGAATGGATAAACAAAAAAAGGATAAGGGTCAGAGACTTATCGGAATTGAAGAGTAGGAGAGTTGATGGACTTCAAAACAAGAACAAATGTGCTAGCATCGCTATGAGAGAAAGAAAGAAGATGAATATGAGTTATAGTTAATTGAGGAAAGAAGGAAAACGAAGATATGAGACTTACCAATAGATGATCCATGGAAACCTTGACGCCGGAGTAGCACCGGCTACCGCTACGGCGCCCGTGACAAAAGTGATGGAGAGCTTGGGAACTTGGGACCGGAGAACGACAACAATGAGAGGAAGGAGGAGGATAAGAATGATATTTTGTTTTATTTAAAGACCCGTAAAAATAAAATCCCATCCCACGTAATCCGATGGGGGAGATGGGATAGCTTTTATTTCGTAAGGTTGAGACAAGACAAAGTATGAGATACATTTTATCCAATCCTATGAGTCCACCAAACGCAGGTTACATCGAGATGGCATTAATTTTTATCCCATCCCATAACTTATCTTGGGTTCCAAACGAGCCCTAATATCATTTCCGAACCGTTGGAAACTAATATGGTTAACCCTGTAAAAATTGTTCTTGATGTAGTGATTGTTGCGCTCAGGGACGCAGGTCTATCTATCTTAGACCAACAAATCTCTCATTGGATTGTTCAATATCAATCACCATTGCAGGTTTGAATATTCCAACAATCAAGAGGTCACAGGTAGTAGCTGGAGTAATCTTGAGATGGTGATATTCACGACGATCCATGTGCCACTCGATACCATTAATTCACTGATATTCTGCTTCCATTTAATAGCCCCATTGAATACATTAACTGCATACACACAAGCTCTACTTCAGCAATAAGGGGTCTAGTTTTTGGCTTAGTAAATTAACTTCTTGAGACCTAGAATCACTATGCAGCCACATCAGAATTTGTTTCATGCATGGCCAATCCTCAGATTCCCACCATGGAAAAATCCGAAGATACCTTGGTAAGCCAGCTTAGACTTTGTATTATCATGTCGAAATTAGACTCTTGCTCTATAAAGCCATACATATGTCTGCCTTTTCATATCAGTTGGAGAGAGACATGATCAACCAACTTCCCAATAGTATTCTTGGCACCATCTTGTCATTTCTCAATCTGAGAGAAGCAGTGAGAACTAGTGTGCTCTCAACCAGATGGAGGAAGATTTGGACTACATCTCTCTCAGTCCTCAACTTCGGTGCAGACAATATGCTTGGCAAAATTCAGTACTCTGACACTGATCATAGTTTTGGACCTTATGGCTGGAGGGTTCACCGAGGTGACAGATTATCATTTCTTAGGAAAAGAAGGCAAGCTTTTGTTGATTCTGTGAACTAGTTTTTGAAATTTTTTGATTCTGAACAAAACTAAGAAAACTCAAGGTTTTCTTCAATATTTGCTCCGGTAAGAACAACAGTGATCTTGATAATTGGATTACTTGTGCTACTGACAAAGCGGTTTGGGAACTTGATCTTTGTTTGTTTGAAAGGAAATATTATAATGCATAGGATGATGATGATTATGATGATAATGGTGATCCTTTAATCCATTATTTTTGTCTTGATGCTTAGACCACTAGACCCTTGTGTAGATTGTATGATTTTCCCTATCATCTTCTTTTTGGCCATGGTGATTGGGAATGCAAGGGAAGTAAGTTCAACATTGAGGTGCCTGAGATTGGAACAATGTAATTTGGCTTCAAAAAACCTCAATTTTCTTGGTTACAACACTCTCAAAACTCTAGATCTTTAGATGGGTAGATTTGAAATCTGATGAACATTTTCAAAGCTTGTTATCTAGTTGCCTTCTGTTAGAATCACTAAGCTTACATAAAAGCTTTCACATATCTCACTTGAAGATTAATTATCATCTGAGTCCTCATTTGAAGTGCTTAAGGGTTCATGGTCAAAATGAATTGAACCAAATGCAAGCCAAGGGAAATGAACTGGAGACACTTGAATACAAGGGGCACACAATAGATTTCTGGACAATGATTGGTACACACCCCGATCCAACACCCAAGTGTGCACCCCCCACATAAAAAAAAAAAAAAAAAAAAAA